AATAATAATGATAATAATAATAATAATAATAATGATGATAATAATAATAATAATAATGTGCTGATGAAGATATTATGAATGATCCTCCAGCCCAATGTTCTGCAGGACCTGTTGGGGATGACGTGTTTCATTGGCAGGTAGATAAGTAGAGAGCTAGATAGGTAGGTAGAAAGCTAGGTAGGTAGGTAGAGAGCCAGGTAGGTAGGAAGAGAGCTGGGTAGGGATTATTGTGGAAGGGTTTATTGTGGAAGGGATCATTGTGGAAGGGACTATTGTGGAAGGGATTATTGTGGAAGAGATTATTGTGGAAGGGATTATTGTGGAAGGGATTATTGTGGAAGGGATTNCGGTATAGCTGGGTGGGAAGGTAGGTAACTAGGTAGCTAGGAAGATAGCTATGTAGCTGGGTAAGTGGAAAAATAGCTAGGTTTGTGGCAAAATTGCTACGTAGCAAGGTACATGGGTATCTAGGTAGGTAGATATGTAGGTAGGCAAATAGGTAGGTATAAGGTAAGAAGCTAGCTATAGATAGGTAAGTAGGTAGATAGGTTGGTTCACAGGTAGCAAGGTAGTAAATGCTGTACTCTTAAAACTTCGTCGAGAACTGTATTTCATTGGCTCTAAATGTCAATATGGACACAAGCGTAGCTATCAAACAAGCTCTTACTCTAACAATACTAATCTCAAGGCATGATCTCATAGGCTCTAAATGTCAATATGGACACAAGGCGTAGCTATCAAACAAGCTCTTACTCTAGCAATACCAATCTCAAGGCATAATCTCATAGGCTCTAAATGTCAATATGGACACAAGCGTAGCTATCAAAAAAGCTCTTACTCTAACAATACCAATCTCGAGGCATGATCTCATAGGCTCTAAATGTCAATAAGAACGCAAGCATAGCTTTTAAAAAAGCTCTTAGTCGATCAATGCCAAATCTCAAGGCACAACCTCATCTTGTATGTTTCAACAAGGACCAAATTACTTCTTATACCATAATCAAAGCAGAGTCTTAATCAACTGATGTATTTGCAAATATCTATGTATTACATGTTAAGTTCATTATACATATTTAAAATATTACGCAGATATACATCATCGTATTTAAGCTAATCACACTACGTGGCTAATTACGCAGATATTTATCATCGTATTTAAGCTAATCACAATACGTTGTTAATCTAGTCGCATTACAAGTTTATGCGCGTTTTCAAACAATGTTTACATAGGTATGTTCAAACTTAATTTATTACAGGTAGATATGTAGCTAGGTAGGTAGATTGGTAAGTAGGTAGGTAGGTAGGTAGATGGGAAGGTAGGAACAAGATGACGACATAAAATCAAAAATAAAAGATTTTGTTACAAAGCAAAAATATTTACTATGTAGTATCTTATTTAAACACTTATTAAGTAAAAATTAATGTGAAAAAGTTCAACGAAAATTATGTGGAAACAAACATAATATTACTAGACTTTTAGAGCGCTTCGCGCCCATCTTCTGTTTCAATTGAGAATATGTTCTCTTTTTAATCATTGTAAAACAAAAACAAATTTCGCGGATTTAAAAAAATATTTCGTGGATTTTCAAAACTTTCAAAAATCCAATTTTGTTAAAGGCAAATTTTTGAAAATTTGATTATCCATAAACCTTCCCTGGGGTCACGCGAGGTCTCACAAAAGCAATTTAAACCGATCGGTTCAGCCGTTTTGACGTTTAACTAATTCAAACAAAAAAGTTTTAAAAACTGTCTACATTGCCCAATTGCTATTTTTCCAGTTCATTGGATTATTTAAATTAATAATTTGAGTCTAAAAGTGATATAATCAGATATTAGAAATATTTTTGTTTTGCCAGTTTTAACAATTTTTTTTTAGGAGGAGTTTTCTTTTTAAACATAACTTTTCCCACGGACTATCCCTTTAAACCTCCTAAATTCACATTCACCACCAGAATCTATCATCCTAATATTAACAGGTATCTCTACGCTTCGTGCTTCTTTTGTAGTAACAATTTTAGATGTTATATGTATTGTTGAAGATAAATCTTATCTTATCTTAACCGTTGCTCTTCAAGATGCCATTTTTTTATGTTTCGCAGATTTTTTGGTTCAATTGCGCAATCAATTTGAAAAATAAATATTTTTCAGCTTTACCCTCCATTAACCTTAATTTAGCAATGAAGCAATATGTCTAATAATCCCTAATTTAGCAATGAAGCAATATGTCTAATAATCCCTAATTTAGCAATGGAGCTATATGTCTAATAATCTCTAATTTAGCAATGGAGCAACATGCCTAATAATCCCTAATTTAGCAATGGAGAAATATGCCTAATAATCCCTAATTTAGCAATAGAGCAATATTCCTAATAATCCCTAATTTAGCAATGAAGCAATATGCCTAATAATTCTTAATTTAGCAATGGTGCAATATACCTAATAATCCCTTATCTAGCAATGGAGCAATATGCCTAATAATCCCTAATGCAGATGGAGCTATATGTCTAATAATCCCTAATTTAGAAATGGAAAAATATGCCTAATAATCCCTAATTTAGCAATGGAGCTATATGTCTAATAATCTCTAATTTAGCAATGGAGTAATATGCCTAATAATCCCTAATTTAGCAATGGAGCAATATGACTAATAATCCCTAATTTAGCAATAGAGCAATATTCCTAATAATCCCTAATTTAGCAATGAAGCAATATGCCTAATAATTCTTAATTTAACAATGGTGCAATATACCTAATAATCCCTAATTTAGCAATGGAGCAATATGCCTAATAATCCCTAATTTAGCAATGGAGCAATATGCCTAATAATCCCTAATTTATCAATGGAGCAATATGCCTAATAATCCCTAATTTAGCAATGGAGCAATATGCCTGGATATTCTAAGATCTCAATGGTCTCCAGCGCTGACAGTTTCAAAGGTAATTAGTTTAAAGTGATTTCCATATACTAATATAACAGTTAGGTCCTTGGCCCATGCAAGCTGTTAAAATTCAATCCAATGGAATTAAGTCTTTGCCAAAAAATTTTCTGATCCCTATTTCTTTGCAACCTGATGATTAAAATCTTTGATATTTTAAAATTTGACTATTTGATCTAACAGAATTCATAGTTAAAATATTAACGACGACGACATCGGTTTTGTGAGATAAAGGAGTTCAAAAATCAGAGTTTGTGGCCAAAACTCAGTTCCTTTGAACAATGAAGCATACATTTTTGGGGTTTCCTCTTTAATGCTTTTTTATATGATTGAATATGAATGGAAGACATCAATAGCCTTGGTTAGTTAACAGGGTGCTGCAAATAGTGTAATTTTTATTTCTTCTGTAAAATATGTATTATTTATGTGTTCTCTCTACCTGTGAAAAAGATTATTCTCTGTACATACCATCCCCATAGTTTCAGTAGAAGTAAATATTTCCATTTACTGTTAGCGCCGATTGAAGGATTCGTATCTCTAATTGGATAATGAGATAGATAGAAAGATAGATGTTACCGCCATACTATTTCTATTGGTCCAGAATAGACATCAAACACATGACTGAACCCTGATTGGATCAGGCGCTAATGGACTGCAGGAGCTTGACCACAACAATTATTGAAATATAAAGTTTGTTATATCCTCATAAAAACCTTTTACTTATACCTATCATTCGGTTTTGAATTCCCTTAAAGTTTTCTGAAGTACTATCAAAATTTTATGTATTAAAATCTACAGAAAACATAAGATACAATTACAAAAGATATAATTACAGAATATATAATAACAAAATATATAATAACAAAAAATATAATTACAAAACATTTGATTACAAAACATATAATTACAAAATATGTAAGTTACAAAAGATAAAAATTACAGTAGATAACATTACAAAATCTATAAAAAAAAATACAAGCAGTTTGTTCATTCGAACATTTCATTTAGACTTTTTTTTTGGTTTATTTGAACTACTAGCCACAGCGCTCGGCCCAGAAATTGACTTATTTCAGGGTTCGGTTAGGTTAAGAAAGCTGCACCTAGGACTGCCTAGGTGGCCGAGCGCTGCAGCTAGGAGTTTAAATGAACAAAAAAAATAGTTCAACTAAAAGAAATATAAAGTTCAAATGTATTTGTTATTTAAGGGTTAGGTTAAGACAATTAATTGTACTTTACTTTATATCTTAAGTTACTAATATCATATGTAATAATATGTTTTTTTTTGTAATAATATGTTTTGTTATGATATATTTCATATGTTTTTTTTGTAATTATTTCTTATGTTACTGAGCCCAAATCTTGAGATTTTATGATTTGTTTTTAATAATAAAACATACACACTATCTACAACAGTTCAGAAAAAAATTATATTAAACTTTTAACATTTAATGTTTAAGGGAATAAAACGTAAATTAAAATCAACAATTATTTTAAGAATCGAATGAAAACGTCTAACTTTTTTTTCTATCTAGAAAAATGTTGGGGACTTATTTTCATCTTTTTTCTTTTTAAAGACTTAAAGTAAAATTTTGAAAAGTCTTCACTGTATTTTTATATACGGTCACCTCGGATTAGGTTATATTCTTATTTTTATCGTTGGAAAAGAGGTCGTAATTCTCTGGACATGGGCCTTTTATTTATACCCCAAATCAAAAGTTTTATTTTAATTCTACAGAAAAAGAAAATACCAATTACAAAAGTTTTATTTAAAGTTCAACTACAGATAAGGAAAATAGCAATTACAAAAGTTTTAATTAAAGTACAATTCTACAGATAAGGAAAATAGCAATTACAAAAGTTTTAATTAAAGTACAATTCTACAGATAAGGAAAATAGCAATTACAAAAGTTTTATTTAAAGTACGATTCTACAGATAAGGAAAATAGCAATTACAAAAGTTTATTCTACAGATAAGGAAAATATCAATAACAAAAGTTTTATTTAGAGTACAATTCTACAGATAAGGAAAATAGCAATTACAAAAGTTTTATTTAAAGTACGATTCTACAGATAAGGAAAATATCAATAACAAAAGTTTTATTTAGAGTACAATTCTACAGATAAGGAAAATAGCCATTACAAAAGTTTTATTTAAAGTACAACTGCAGATAAAGAAAATAGCAATTACAAAGGTTTTATTTACAGTACAACTGCAGATAAAGAAAATAGCAATTACAAAAGTTTTATTTAAAGTATAATTCTACAGATAAGGAAAATAGCAATTACAAAAGTTTTATTTAAAGTACAATTCTTCAGATAAGGAAAATAGCCATTACAAAAGTTTTATTTAAAGTACAATTCTACAGATAAGGAAAATAGCCATTACAAAAGTTTTATTTAAAGTACAACTGCAGATAAAGAAAATAGCAATTACAAAGGCTTTATTTACAGTACAATTGCAGATAAAGAAAATAGCAATTACAAAGGTTTTATTTACAGTACAACTGCAGATAAAGAAAATAGCAATTACAAAAGTTTTATTTACAGTAGTACAATTCTACAGATAAGGAAAATATCAAATACAAAAAGCCAAAGAGCAACCACCTACTGTAGTTCCTGGAAACCTTGAGTTTAAAGATTTTTAGGATACTGTTGTGAATCGGACATGCCAGTCTAAAAATGGGAGGTCACTTGATATAACGTTTACAGTCCCTCTAAGAGTGCAACTAAGACCTATACAGTCCCTCTAAGAGTGCAATTAAGACCTATACAGTCCCTCTTAGAGTGCAACTAAGACCTATACAGTCCCTCTAAGAGTGCAACTAAGACCTATACAGTCCCTCTAAGAGTGCAACTAAGACCTATACAGTCCCTTTAAGAGTGCAACTAAGACCTATACAGTCCCTTTAAGAGTGCAACTAAGACCTATACAATGATGTTTTAACCTTTAAACCTTGTTATTTTACTGTTAGAAATACTCGTTTAGCTGAGTTTGACCTAAATATAAACGAAAACAATACTGCATGTCGAAAACGCAGATAGAATTAAAGAAATATTGAATTAATAAAATCTATTAAACTTGTATGGAACCACGTTAAACTAAGATAAATTGCACGTAAATGTTTACAATCATAGCTTCTTTCATTGAAGAGCTTTTGTTTTCATTTTCTATTAGGAAATCGGACAATGTCGGACTAGTAATGGCTCCTTCTGTCTAGTAGTGTACTAATGACAACATGAACTAAGCTTTCTGTGCGTACTGCATCAGTGATCTACGGTACACTGAACTAAACTTTCTGTGCGTACTGCATCAGTGATCTACGGTACACTGAACTAAACTTTCTGTGCGTACTGCAGTAACTATGAGGCTTTAAGGAATATCTAACAATTTTGTTTCTTTATTTTTGAAAAAATAATGTTGCCAGTTATACTGTTTATCTTTTCATTCTTTGTGTTTACATAAAAATATTATTTTTTGCAGGTTTTACTCTCTATCTATTCTTTCACTTTGTTAAAATAAAAATATCATTTTTTAGCAGCTTTTACTTTATATCTATTCCTTCGCTATGTTTAAATAAAAATATTATTTTTTTGAAGGTTTTACTTAATATCTATTCCTTCACTATGTTTTTTTTTTCAGGTTTTACTCTTTATCTATTCCTTCACTATGTTTAAATAAAAATATTAAATTTTGCAGGTTTTACTCTCTATCTATTCCTTCACTATGTTAAAAAAAATGTTGCAGTTTATACTCTCTATCTATTCCTTCTCTGTGTTTAAATAAAAATATTAAATTTTGCAGGTTTTACTCTTTATCTATTCCTTCACTATGTTTAAATAAAAATATTAAATTTTGCAGGTTTTACTCTCTATCTATTCCTTCTCTATGTTAAAAAAAATGTTGCAGTTTATACTCTCTATTTATTCCTTCTCTGTGTTTAAATACAATATCAATTTTACAGGTTTTACTCTCTATCTATTCCTTCTCTATGTTAAAAAAAAATTGTTGCAGTTTATACTCTCTATCTATTCCTTCTCTGTGTTTAAATACAATATCAATTTTGCAGGTTTTACTCTCTATATGTTCCCTCCTCTGTGTTTTAGTAAAATATTAAATTTAGCAGGTTTTACTCTCTATCTCTTCCTTCTCTATGTTTAAATAAAAAATATTATTTTTGCAGGTTTTACTCTCTATATGTTCTCTTCTCTGTGACCCGAACCCAGATGACCCTCTTGTACCAGAAATAGCCAGGTATAAAAAGCATAAAAAGAAAAGAAAAACGCTAAACAGAGTTTTTCATAATTTCAAGTACAGTTAAAAGTCAATCTAAGAAAAAGAAAGTAAAAAATGATAAAATTTGATTTGATTTGCAAACATGACAATGGGTGAATATTTTACAATGTCTTCTTCCATAATTTGATAAGTTTTTTGATACCAAAGACAAAAATAAAAATAATATGGGAGTCATGTTATAGAAAAATTGATTTCAAAGTAAAAAGCCTGTACTATCTAATACAGTATATAAAAGACGACATTTATAAAACTTTATCAATTGTCATATTTCGTGGGACATCCTGTACCTGAGCATCAATAAGGAAGATATTGTCGTTTTACTAGAAAAGTGTCACATTCTCACAATTTTCTCGTTTTTCTCTGCTGAATGAATCCGCAAGTCACGTTTACATGGTAACCAATTAATTTTCAGATAGAAAAGTAAATATGTTTTCATCTATTTTGCTGAGACAAAAGCTAATTTTATCTCTTTTTCAGATTATATAAGACAGATCTTGCCAAGTACAATGATTGTGCCAAAGAGTGGACGAAAAAATACGCAATGTGAAAACCAAAAATTACCCATTGTGAAAACCAAAAATTACGCAATGAGATCATACTAAAAATACCCAATTTCAATCATACAAATATGAAAGTGAAATCATAATTGAATGCAGGATTTTAAATAGGGATCAAAGCTTAGCTTAAAAATTTTATCAAATTAATTTGTTTCAAAATTCTGCAAGAAAGTTAAATTTTTATTTCATTTTTATCTTTAAAAAAAACATAATATAGAAGCTACGAAAATAGTAATTGTAATCTATATCCATTTCTGAATTGTTACTTAATATTTTTTAACATAAATAATGAATACAACTTGATTTTGTAATAAATGTTAGACCAAAATTCTTCTTACAATACATGTTTTCTAATACATGGGTTCCCTGTTGTTGCACAGGGTACTTAAAGTTACTCCCGTCGTTTACCCGCATTTGGACAAATTTTACCGGAAACTAACTTTTCGCTAAAAAAAAAGTCGACCCACTCAATTTAGAATCTCAAAACCAAACTAAGAAAATTCTCGTGGTTCTCCCGAGGTCCCCAATCAAAATTTGAGGCATTTCGGTCCAGAGGTTCCTGCATTATATACGGACAAACAAACAGACAAACAGAGATTATAACTTTATGTATATAAGCGAAGGGCATGGTAGCATTATATCATGTATATTCGTATTACGTATAACAGAATATATTAGACTTCAGAGACGATTAAACGGAAATTGTTCAGTCCGTTTTCTTGCTTCAGGGTTCCTTTTATGCAGAAACGGGCTAATAATATCTGTGCTGTGTCTAATTTAGTAAACCAACAAATTACAAAATGCTTAATTAATGCAGAAACCAAAAATCAAGCTTGAAATAGTCATATATTTAGTGTCGTCTTTACAGTCTTTATAAAGTCTCATTCTTTGTGGGTAACCCTGTATATGTCTTTATTATTTTTAAAATTTTCTTAAAGCTCTGTTTAGTTATCTAAGTGATCCTCCGATTCACAACTTTGTCCAGAAAAGGTTTGTCTGATCAATACATTCATGTTTTTGTTTTTGAAAACTGATTAATTGTATTAATGACTTGCGCATTTTTGTTTCAGAAATAAATTAAGAAATTATCAGAATAGAACAGTTTTGAAGCAAGAAAACAACTTAATCTTTAACATTATTGATTAAATTCAGATTTTAAGCTGGTATACCGTTGTAAATCCGCTAAAGTTCATTTGAAGTAAATATTTCCATTTACTGTTAGCGCTGATTAAAGGATTCATAACTCTAATTGGATAATGAGATAGATAGAAAGATAGATGTTACCGCCATACTATTTCTATTGGTTCAGAATAGACAACAAACACCTTACTGAACCCTGATTGGATCAGGCGCTAATGGACTCGGCATGCTGGAGTGAATCGAGCATTTGTTCCTCTTTAAATGGAGGGTCAACATAAATTAAGACCACAGTCCCTTTATTATTAATTCTAATCTTAATGCAGTAAAATTTCAGAATAAGGAATTGAGTCTTTGCCATAAACTCTAATTTTCTTATCTCTATATCTTTCCAACCCAATGTCGTCGACATTATAAATTTTAAACTTTAAATTCTGCTAGTTCAATTAAGGTTAACACCATCAGGTTACATGGATATATGGATTAGAAAATTCTAGGTTTTGCCCAATTTCTTGGTCCTAGATTCGAAAGTTTGATTTGAAAAATTATCTCAATTTGTTTAAAATTAAATATTTAAAAAAAATATGTTTACAGAAAAGATGAAAAGAAATTTTATTGATAATCATACTTTTTACAAAGATATTCAGAGGTAAGCGATATTTGAAAAAATAGGATTTTTTCGGAATTAAAGATTTTTGGATAATGAATCTCAGGATTAAGAATTGATCTCCAGTTCTGCAGTTCTACGGATTAACTTAATTCCTCTTCACTGATCCGTAAAACCCTGTGGAATTGAGGGATGAAGCATTGAACCTTAAATCTAAAAGTTTCCACATTTGATATCGAGATCAAACGGTTAAGTTCCGATCTCAAGAGGCTGAATTTAAAGAATTTGAGCCGCGGCTTAAATATGGTTGGTTCCACTTAAAATTGTATTCAGTTTTTCAAGATTTAAGCCGGCGCTCAATTGAAACCGGTTTTTGGGGGATTTGAGACATGGCTTAAATTCATTAAATTCGGACAAAGTTATATCTTTTAAAAATTAAAGAGATTTATTGAAAGTGTTTCAGTTTAAAGCAACTGCACGTTGCACTAATTGCTGTGTTCCATGTTTGAGGATTTTAACAGTCAACTTCCAGTTCTATAGTTTTCGGGTCTCACTGTAATCTTAATTTAACATACATTCTTTTGTTTCGATTTCAAAATTTTTAATCGATTTGCAATTTATCGACTTTTCACTATTTTTTGGAATTAAATGTACAAACTTTTAAGAAAACACATATAAGGCATGTTGATCAAAAACAGATTTTGGTAGTTTTGATAAGTTCAAATCTTCAAAAAGCATTTTAAACATGGATTCGTGCATAAATTTTTAATTTAAAAAAATTGATTTCAAATGTTCATAATATCTCCATAGGGCTGACGTTAGAGCTGTCAAGGGAAAAGTTCAGCAACTGCAAGGAACGCCATCTCTGGGTGCTTTTCTAAAATTATCCTACCCTGACCCAAGGACACTAGCTAAACAGGGACCAAATTTAATCAATTAGAAAGTTTTGGATTTTAAACAACCCTAACCTGAAATCAGCTGACGAAGAGAAATTTTCTGACAGTTCCAACCAATCAGAGACTCGCAAATATTGGACTCCTCAATCTATTGGCTAAAACAAAACTCGTCTCTTGCTCACTAGGATAGTTCAAAATTTAAACTCCAAGTTGAACCAGCCATTAAAGATACATTATTATGTAGTTTAATGACTTCTCACTAGGACTGGGCTTGTTCAAACTTTTTTTGTTAATGATTAGTTGCATCTGTTAAAAATGAAAAATTTTATAAGCCGTTAATTTTAAAAAGCTGTTTTTTTTGCAATTAACAGCATTAGCCGTTCAGAAAAAATTTCGTTAGCGGTTTGGCAAATCGTTAACAGCGGAAGGGAACTGAAGACGAATTTTAAAAACATCAAAATACAAAACAAATATTTTTTTGCTGCAAGTTTCATGTAATTTTAGCAGAAAAAAAGAGTGAAAGTTGCTGTTTTTAAATACCCATGCATTTCGTTAACGTTTTCAACCGTTATTTTTTTTTCAAAACCGTTTTGTTAATTGTTTAAATATTAACGGGTTTTGCTGTTCCTTAACGGACTCTTCCGTTAATTTTCAAAACCTACGTTTCGTTAACGGAACTTTGCCCAGCCCTACTTCTCGCAATTCATTAAATTTGGTCCCAGTACCCTGACCCGGCTCAATCCAGTCAAACTCAGCAAACAAAACAAGAAGGAAAAGTAATATTTGTGGCTGAGAGGGAAACCCCTGTTGATGATAAAAAAGAGGATTTTATTCAAAAATGGCAGAACTCGGAAAATATTTCCAGACCGGGGACTGGGAAAGTCCCAAGTCAGGAAAGTAAAGAAGAGTTAGTTGATGATAGTGTTCAGCAAGATGAACAAGACGTGAATACTCCCATTGAACAGCAAAATGAACAACGAACAGATGAACAAAATGAAACCTTGAGACTCAAAAAACAGAAAATACCTGTCTTCAAATCACAGAGTAAAGGGCCTAACCCTATGAACCGAATAGGACCCAAGGCAAGATAAATTATTTCTCTTTCTCTAAATGTATAAAAATGAACAATTACGTAAAAAGCTTATTCAGAAATTGGATAACAATGCAAATAGTACTTTACAATGGTTTATCATCATATACCTTTTTTGTTTTTGGGGAACAGCCCCTTTAAACAATTTATATTCAGGGTATTGCAAAAGGGCCTAATCCTGCAAACAGGAGAGGACCTCAGGTACTGTGAGATCTATCTGACTATTTTTCTATTTAGTTATGTTTGCTGAATATTGTTATACTAATATGAACATTATTTTATTGTGCATTTACAAGTTTTAACAGCTTTATTAATTAATGTCCTATGGACTTCATATAACACTTATTTTCGTTAACAATCTAGAGTTCAGAGCACAAATTGGATAACTTTTTTATCTCTTACAATCTTGCTAATTACAGAGGTAGAATAAATATTTTGGTTAACAATCTAGAGTTAAGAGCACAAATTTGATAACTTTTTTTATTTCTCACAATCTTGCTAATTACAGGGGTAAAATAAATATTTTGGTGAAATCTTCAATAATGAATCAAGTTATTAAAGAGACTGTAAAGGGAAAATGAAAGGGGGAATAGCCTGAAACCTAAGGATTTTAGGAGTTGATTGAAACCCCTGAGAGTTCTATCTGATGTTCCTGTCTCGAGAAATTGAGTTAAAACTGTGTCAAATTTATACAAAAATCTATATATTTAAAATTTCGAATTAGAATAGTTATAGGTTTAAACAGATCATTAAGCAAATACTGGTCACGTGATACAGACAGAGTCACGTGATAATGATACTGCACTGCCATTGGTGGGAGTTCTGGTCATGTAATACGGACGTATAAATAATATCAATTATATCTTTTATAACTGAAAATTTATTTAATTTAAATAATAATAGGAGCAAACGTAAGTTTCTTAGGCTCCTCTGGGATATCTAGATAAATTCTTGTATATCCATGTATTGTATGCAATCCATGTTAATTTAAAGCTTAAATTATTAATAAACCATATAATGCTATCATAAGAAGTGAAAAACATAATTTTGGATTAAATATCTTATTTTATATAATAAGTCCTACCGGTTCCAATTGCAAATTTCTTTCTAAAAAATTCAAATTTTTCAAGATGAACAATAAATAAAATTAAGATAATTAAAAAATATTCATTAAAGATGTATTTTGATATGGTCGTATATAGTTATATTGGAAACTCAATTTACTAAAGGAATTGAGTCTTCGCCACAAACTCAAATTTTTAATCCCTATATCGTTGTAACCCAATTTAGTATACCTTTACTATTTCGAACTATAAATTCTGTTCGATCAAAAAGTCATAGATAAAATATCAAAGGTTTAAACCATCAGGTTGCAAAGATTAAGGGACTAAAACGTTTGAGTTTGTGGCAAATTTTTTTTTTTAATAATTTTTTTCGTGGTTTACAATTAACTTAAAATGATACAATGTTTTTCAGGTGTTTACTGCGTACTTCAAGCCTGCAGATCAAATGGCAACGAACATTATTAAATAATATTTTAAACTTTGTGTTTTTTCTTCTAAGAAATATAAATATTTAGCATTTTTTCTTTTTTTTTTACAATTTAATCCTTAAATAATTTTATATTGTCAATTTTTTTCAATATTCTCTATATATACCATGTTTTATACAGTTAAAGCGCGCCATGCTGACACATTTTTGTTCACCTGAAGAACTCAAAAAGGGTCAAAATTTCGACTGAAGACTAAAAACTAGATTTTTAACTTATCACACATTAGTTTATTAAGATAGATATTTTTTATTGTGTTTTCTTTCCCTTAACTGCTATTGATTGCATCAAAACAAAAAANTATCTAGGCATTCAGAAATCTAGGCATAATGTTATCTAGGCATTCTGAAATCTAGGCATAATGTTATCTAGGCATTCAGAAATCTAGGCATAATGTTATCTAGGCATTTAGAAATCTAGGCATAATGCTATCTAGGCATTCAGAAATCTAGGCATAATGTTATCTAGGCATTCAGAAATCTAGGCATAATGTTATTTAGGCATTCAGAAATCTAGGCATAATGGTATCTAGGCATTTAAAAATCTAGGCATAATGTTATCTAGGCATTCAGAAATCTAGGCATAATGCTATTTAGGCATTCAGAAATCTAGGCATAATGTTATCTAGGCATTCAGAAATCCAGGCATAATGGTATCTAGGCATTCAGAAATCTAGGCATAATGTTATCTAGGCATTCAGAAATCTAGGCATAATGGTATCTAGGCATACATAAATCTGGGCATAATGTTATCTAGGCATTCAGAAATCTAGGCATAATGTTGTCTAGGCATTCAGAAATCTAGGCATAATGTTTTCTAGGCATTCAGAAATCTAGGCATAATGTTATCTAAGCATTCAGAAATCTAGGCATAATGTTTTCTAGGCATTCAGAAATCTAGGGATAATGTTATCTAGGCATTCAGAAATCTAGGCATAATGGAATCTAGGCATTCAGAATATTAGGCATAATGTTATTTAGGCATACAGAAGCCTAGGCATAATGTAGCTATCAATGTCATCACGGACACAAGCTCGAAAACTATCATTGCCAAATTAATGGGCATGATCTCGTCAGTTATCGATGTCATTACGGCCAGAAACAAGCTCTTAAACTATCAATGCCAGGCCAGACCAATGTTTATATTTATTTATAATTTCAATTTGTCTTTTGTTGTAAACGATGGTCAATGGTTTATTAGAGTGATTAATCTAATGGAAGAAGGGAAGAGGAGAAGCTTCTCATATTATAAAAAAATTAATTTAAATTTTAAACCCTATCATTTCACAAAACAGGATAGAAATAAAAATTTTTAAATAATTTTATTTTATTTTGAAGAAATGAAAGTACTTTATACAAGATATTGGTAACAAAAATAGATTTTATGCCAATTTCCTTCCTTTTTTTCGTTTTTTCTTTCATTTTACGTTTCGTTCTTTTCATTTTTTTTTCATTTTCTTCTTTTTTGTCTCAGATAGTGTGCCCCTCTTCTGCCCCTCATGCCCTCCCACCCCTTATAATTACAGGCCTGAATGATCAAACAAAGCTTTTAAGAGTAGGGCATGTGAGCCAATCATTGTCATCTTTGCATGGAGGGTCTTACCTTCTCTTCTTATCCTGTCTTACCTTCTCTTCTTATCCTGTCTTACCTTCTTTTCTTATCCTGTCTTACCTTCTCTTCTTATCATCTCTTACCTTCTCTTCTGATCCTGTCTTACCTTCTCTTCTTATCCTGTCTTACCTTCTCTTCTTATCCTGTCTTTCTTTCTATTCTTATCCTGGCTTCCCTTCTCTTCTTATTTTGTCTTTCTTTCTGTCTTCTTTTTCTTAATTTTTCTCTGCCAAAATCTTTTTTTCTTTAGGTATGCATTTATCAATGCTCTTCTCTTTCGACTTATCTTTTCCCACTTTCTCTTCTTACCTTAATTAAAAACCTTTTTTTCTTATCTTTGGAAATAGTCCGCTCATGTAAGTTCTATTGGAAATATTTCGCTGAACCACTGATTTGGATTCTGAAGAATCACGCAACTGCTTCATTAAGTTCTAACTCCAGTATTGGAAAATTTGAACAAGTAATTCAGTGTCCTGTGCAGTCGAACTCAGGAGAAAATTAAAGGACATTTTTTCTAATCTGATAGGGCATTCGCCATTGGTATGGGCCTGCACGCTTGTTTAACAGTATGACTAATAATGCAAGAATTACTTTTGCTAAATAGTGCTTTTAAGTAAATGATCCTTAAATAGATTTTATCAAGATTTTCAAAGCAACTGTGGTAACTAGTTTGAACTGGATTTTTTAAAGTAAATATGGAAATTAGTTTAAACAAAATAGATTATCAAGTACAAACGAACTAATTATACACAACGTCACAAGTGTCAAATATAACAAGGAAAACGAAATTGTCTCACATGAGTTGACATGTTTTCCAAAATTAAATAAAAGTGTAAAAACAGAAACTAAAGAACACATAAAATTGCACTTATTTTACTGTAAGAAAAGCACTTTATTCTAAAATTATCACTATTATTGATGATTTTGTCGGACACAAAAACTGAGTTGACACTTTTGACGTCAGAATACAACTGTACTAAGAGTGTACAAATTCTACGTTGCCATCTATTGTACTAGAATCTATTTGGTTTAAACTGGCTTTTTTATACTTGAGGTTTCAAAATAAAAACTAAAAAAGTACAAATAGCTCTTTGCAAAAAGTAATTAATATTATTCCTTGGAGATAAGAATAATGCTAAAACATAAAAAATAAAATTGATTTTTTCAAGAATTCTTCAGGAACTGAATCTGGTTTGAACTGGCTTTTTACAAGCTGAAAATTGAATTTACAACGAAAGTTATAGTTAATATTTCTTTCTGAGAGATGAGAAAATGGAATAGCTGCTGGAAAAATATTTTCAACTGCGAAAATTTTTATCTAAATTGTAATGAAAATTGCCCTATTATTTAAATATTTCCACACAAAAACCAAAACGGCTGAAATGGTTGTCCAAGATTGTTTATTAAGTTTATATCTCCAATGTACGGAAAATGTCGTCTTCATAGGATTGGGAACTCAAAATTCTCATATGACATAAATGAATGCTATCGGAAAATGACGCAATTTGTTACTGGTGCGAGAGAGGAAGGACTTTCTATGCTTTTTCTTAGCTTTGTTTTGATATTCTAAGTTGAGTTGGTCGACTTCAATAGCGGAAAGTTAGTTTCCAGGTAAAATCGTTCAATTGCGGGTAAACGGGTAAACTTTTAGTAACTTGGGTTCCAAGAGAGAGACGACTTTTAGACTCAAATTATGACTTTAAATAATGAACATCAGGCAGAGCAATTGTGCAGTGTAAGATACATTTAACTTAATAAATATTTCATAACTTACTATTTGTTTTTAAAGTTACGACATCACTACATCACTACATCACTACATCACTACATCACTACAATTACATCACTACATCACTACATCACTACATCACTACATCACTACATCACTACACCACTACATCACTACATCACTACATCACTACATCACTACATCACTACATCACTAAATCACTACATCACTACACCACTACATCATTACATCATTACATCACTACATCACTACATCACTACATCACTACATCACTACATCACTACATCACTACATCATTAAATCACTACATCACTACACCACTACATCACTACATCAATACATCAATACATCACTACATCACCACATCACTACATCACTACATCACTACATCACTAAATCACTACATCACTACATCACTACATCATTACATCATTACATCACTACACAACTATACCATTACACCACTACACCACTACATCACTACATCACTACATCACTAAACCACTACACCACTACATCACTACATCACTACATCACTCCAGGAGTAATTATAAAACTAGAGTACAAAGAGATAAGCACCAGGAGTAATTATAAAACTGGAGTACCAAGAAACAAGCTCCAGGAGTTTATATATGAAACTGGAGTACAAATAGATAAGCTCCAGGAGTAAATATAAGACTGGAGTACCAAGAGATAAACTCCAGGGGTACTATAAATATAACTAGAGTAAGAAGAGATATACTCCAGAAGTATATATGAAACTAGAGAAATTTATACAATATAGTAGGTACGAATTGTATCAAAGATTTATGAATATAGTTATCTCTTTGTTAAAGATTCATACTCCGAGAATAACAGATTTATGAATATATTTATCTCTTTGTTAATCTGATATACATTTATACTTCAAGAATAAAAAATTTATGAATATATTTATCTCTTTGTAGACCTGATATACATTTAAACTCCAAGAATAAAAGATTTATGAATATATTTATCAAAACGCTCCGGCCCACCCCGGGCTTAAAATTGATACTACACTCGTGCTCAAAATATTGGGCTACAGGTCTCTACAGATACAGATACATTGGGCTACAGGTCTCTACAGCTACAGATATATTGGGCTACAGGTATCAACAGCTACTTGGGTGCTGGAAAAACAGACAAAACATATTTTAAACATCCGGCCTTTTGGACGTTTATCAGTCTTGATCATTAACAAATCGCAAACATCAATAGAAATTAATGCAAAACGCGTTTAAAGTGAAAATTAATTAATTAAAATTAATCAAAATTAAAACCTTATAAATAAGTCAATCATTGTAAATCTATTAACGTCTTTAACCTCTATAGCGACTTTTTGTAATTAGCTTAGGGTTTATTTGTTGATAAATCGCTTTTACAGTTAATTCTTTTTTAAATTCAAATATTTATCCAGATTAGTCGGTTTTCATTTAACCACCTTAGTCGGTTTTCATTTTGAAAAAACAACCCCCAAAAAATTGAGTAAATACAGTGGTTTTTGGCTTAGGTATCGTTCTTATATAAACGTACAACTAGTCGTAAATCTACGTAAATTACACTTGCTATATAGGGAAACTCTTTGCTTTATATAAACATCAAATACAAAAATGTTTGCTTTAATATCGTCTTCCTCAAAGTCTTATGGGTCTTA